TGGTTACTATGGTGATTCTAGTCAGACAGGAGAATGCTGTCATTAAGTATTGGAAGCCCAAACAGTCCATTGATCTCTTTCACACGTCTTCTGCTGGGTGTTGATGCCAGTGAGCTCTTGGGTCAGATGAGACAAATTCATGCACAATTTGACGTGGCAGAGATAACTGACAGTGAAGTCATCTCTGAATTCCTTCAAGTTGTGCAGAAAATACCAGGCGCTGTGGGTCCGGACTTTCAGCCGTTTCCTCCTACTGACAGTTGTGTTGAGCACCAGGTATCCGTCTTTCTTCACTGACCCTTGCCACAGCTGGCACTGGCTGTCTGGACCTCCGTCTTGAAATCTGCATCGGATTCTACTCTTTAGCGTCTCTATCTCAATCTCTGATAGATTGGCTTCACAGAGAGAAGACATCTTGAAAACCGGATCTACAACATAAAAACTGTAGTGAGTGACCATGATGGAACCACTGTTTCTCCTTCAGACTTGTCTTCTTAATCTACTTTGCGAAAGCTGCATTCAACCGTTCTCACGTTTTTGTTTTAATTTGAACTTAATATAATCTTGTTTTGCAAATATTAAAAAAACCTAAACCATTTAAGACCTCTTTTACTCGACTTCAGAATATGTATAAGACATGTTTACTATGGTGATTCTAGTCAGACGTAAGAATGCTGTCATTAAGTATGGGAAGCCCAGACAGTCCATTGATCTCTTTCACACACGTGTTCTGCTGGGTGTTGATGCCAGTGAGCTCTTGGGTCAGATGAGACAAATTCATGCACAATTTGACGTGGCAGAGATGACTGACAGTGAACTGAATTCCTTCAAGTTGTGCTGAAAAATACCAGGCCCTGTGGGTCCGGACTTTCAGCCGTTTCCTCCTACTGACTGTTGTGTTGAGCACCAGGTATCCGTCTTTCTTCACTGACCCTTGCCACAGCTGGCACTGGCTGTCTGGACCTCCGTCTTGAAATCTGCATCGCATTCTACTCTTTAGCGTCTCTATCTCAATCTCTGATAGATTGGCTTCACAGAGAGAAGACATCTTGAAAACCGGATCTACAACATAAAAACTGTAGTGAGTGACCATGATGGAACCACTGTTTCTCCTTCAGACTTGTCTTCTTAATCTACTTTGCGAAAGTTGCATTCAACCGTTCTCACGTTTTTGTTTTAATTCGAACTTAAAAGAACCGTATTTTTGCAAATATTAAAAATCCTAAACCATTTTCACAGACCTCTTTTACTCGACTTCAGAATATGTATAAGACATGTTTACTATGGTGATTCTAGTCAGACGTAAGAATGCTGTCATTAAGTATGGGAAGCCCAGACAGTCCATTGATCTCTTTCACACATGTTTTCTGCTGGGTGTTGATGCCAGTGAGCTCTTGGGTCAGATGAGACAAATTCATGCACAATTTGACGTGGCAGAGATAACTGACAGTGAAGTCATCTCTGAATTCCTTCAAGCTGTGCAGAAAATACCAGGCGCTGTGGGCCCGGAGTCTCAGCCGTTTCCTCCTACTGACAGTTGTGTTGAGCACCAGGTATCCGTCTTTCTTCACTGACCCTTGCCACAGCTGGCACTGGCTGTCTGGACCTCCGTCTTGAAATCTGCATCGGATTCTACTCTTTAGCGTCTCTATCTCAATCTCTTATAGGTTGGCTTCACAGAGAGAAAACATCTTGAAAACTGGATCTACAACATAGAAACTGTAGTGAGTGACCATGATGGAACCACTGTTTCTCCTTCAGACTTGTCTTCCTAATCTACTTTGCGAAAGTTGAGGTTTATCCGTCTTTTTTAACAGACCCTTGCCACAGCTGGCACTGGCTGTCTGGACCTCCGTCTTGGAATCTGCATCGGATTCTACTCTTTAGCGTCTCTATCTCAATCTCTGATAGGTTGGCCTCAGAGAGAAGACATCTTGACAACTGGATCTACAACATAGAAAAACTGTAGTGAGTGACCATGATGGGACCACTGTTTCTCCTTCAGACTTGTCTTCCACTTGTCTTCTTAATCTACCTTGCGAAAGTTGCTTTCAACCGTTCTCAAGTTTTTGTTTAAGTTTTTGTTTAATTCGAAATTAAAAGAATCTTCTTTTGCATGTATGAAACAAGAGTCATCAGAAGATGACAAATGCCCCCGGCCCCTACAAATTTGAAAGAACAAATCAACTGACAGTTACTTAGAGTCCAACTTGATTGTTTGGGACTAGGTCCACATCGTTTCCATGGAAATCATGAAAAATGAAAATGACAAAATCTGCAAATAGCAAAAGCACAACTTCAAGATCTGTTTGATATATCTGTCAAGTCTTGTAGAAAGATTGTGAACGGTTTTCGAGTTGTGATCCGGAAACGAAACCCACCCCTCCCTTTTGAGACTAAGTCCAAAACATTTCCATGGGAACCGACAAAAATCTGTAAATAACAAAAGGCACCACCTTAGGTTCTGTTTGATATACCTACCAATTTTTGTTGAAAAATATTAAACGGTTTTAGAGTTATGGTCCGGAAACAAAATGATTACGGCCGGACGGACGAGGCGTCGACTATAACAAGGGGGATAAAAATCTAAACCATTTAAGACCCTTTTCACTTAACTTCAGGGTTTGTATGATAAAACATGGTTACTATGGTGATTTCTAGTCTGACGTTGAAAGAATGGTGTCATTAAGTAAGGGCAGCCCAGCCCAGACAGTCAGTGTATTGACCATGATGGAGACACTGTTTCTCCTTCATCTCGTCTTTCATTGGGTGTTTTATGCCAGTGTGTTCTTGAGGGAAAACACATCAAATTTGTTCTTGATTTGTTAAGCCACAGGTTGATGAAGTCTCTGTTCAATTCTTTCAAGTTGTGCAGAAAATGCCAAGCTCTGTGCGCATGGAGTCTCACTTGTCTCTTACCACTTGGAATCGTGTCTAGTACTTGGTACTCGTGCTTCTCGTTTTCCCCTTCCCACATCTGTCACTAGTAGTCTGGATGTCCATAATTGATTCTGCATTTTACTCTGCTTTTCAGAGTCTCTCTTTCCGTCGATGTCGTACTGCACAGGTAGTATAACACCACTGTATCCTGAGACATCACTGTACATGAAGTAAATCATCACTGTTTTTCTTGACACTGAAGACACAACTAAAATAGTGTGTTTTCTGTTCAGTAATAAACAACGGGGAGCACAGACAGCCCATTGATCTCTTTCACACACGTCTTCTGCTGGGTGTTGATGCCAGTTGGCTCTTGGGTCAGATGAGACAACTTCATGCACAACTTGACGTGGCAGATATGACTGACAGTGAACTGAATTCCTTCAAGTTGTGCAGGAAATACCAGGCCCTGTGGGCCCGGAATCTCAGCTGCTTCCTCCTGCTGACAGTTGTGTTGAGTATAGGGTATCCGTCTTTCTTGACTAACCCCTGCCACAGCTGACACTGTCTGCCTGGACCTCCGTCTTGGCATCAGCATCGCATTCTAGTTGTTAGCATCTGTATCTCAGTCTCTGATATAGACTATATATATATTTAATGCAGTAGCACCAGAGCTCAAATAGATAGGTTTTCTAAACACTTGATCTTCTTAGCACTTTAATCTTAAGTTTTCTTAGTGCTTTCAATACATTCTCTCAATGAATGTTACTAAATATGTTAAGTTAACAAGATTTCATAAAAGTGAAAATTTCATCAAAGTAAAAATTACTTCAATGTTAAAAGTTGATCCAAGTCAGAATATGAATATACCAAGAAAACATCGTTTAAAGTTGTGTTTATTGACAACCTGATTTCATTTTCACAAATAAAATTACAGAAAAATTTGTTGTGCCACAGGTGGGGGATAGTCAAGTCAACACTTAGTTCTTTCAAGTTGTGCAGAAAATACCAAGTTCGGTGCGTCTGGAGTTTTACACGGTACTTCAGTCTTTGCAATCTCCATGGTTCTCAAAAATCAAAAGCAGACATCAGGGATAGTCACTACAAATGACAGGAAAACCCTTGAAACTAATAACATTTATTACAGATTATAACCTTATTTCACATAGTGTAAAGTTGGTTTGTGGTTTGACGCCTCACTCGGTTGGTTGGTTTGCGGTTTGACGCCTCAATATTCCACATATATGGCGGTGGTCTGTCAATAATCGAGTCTGGACCAGACAATTCAGTGGCCAACTGCATGAGCATCGATGTACACAATTGGAATACGATGACATATGTCAACCAAGTTAGCGGGCACGGAGCACCCGATCCCGTTAGTCGCCTTTTACGACACTGGGTTACTGAAGACCAATTCTAACCCGGATCTTCACTGTTAAGTAGACACATTATGATAATGAAAATTAGAAGTATATTGTTGTTGCTAATCAGAACAAATCGTATTACTCACCCGTTGAAGATATTAGTGTTAAATAAATCTACAATGTTACAACACATTGTGTAATAATATCGTGTGCTGTCGGAACTATTTGCACTCGGTCATATGACCAAAGTAACTTGATCAAAACAAAATGTCGGCTGTCATTCACAACACATCTCGAAGTCGCGATATTCAACTGTTCTTTGCTCGGATGCGTGTTGATTGAAGCCATTTGGTCCCTTTTTCGTACAAAGAAATCAAATTAAATAGACTATACAGAATTTTTTTTAAGAAGATATATATCTGTTCTTTTGTTTTACATATTCCCGTCGTCAAGAATGATATTCGATAGCGATTTTGCCAGCATGTTACTCAAAGAATACATAACCATTGTGATTGTCAAATTGAATTATCTTATAACATTGATAACATCACCCGAAAACAACCACCCTCGGAAACAACATGCAAAATGTGTGGCATGAATATGCTCCACATTTCACATATGCCCTCTGATCGGTTAAAACCTACCTGTAATCATTCTTCTGGTACAACAAGCGGGTCCTAACTTCATTTATATGGATGATAATGCTCGTCCATGAATGAGTTGAGTTGAGTTGGATTTTACGTAACATCGGCATTATTCCAGCCATATAGTGACGAGAACAATTTTGCATTCATAAACATTGTAAGTACATACTCGGAATGAGTTTTTTATTTCAAAAACATATATTCTTTGCATTGTCATTTAAAAGCAGAAAAAGTCATAGCACTAAATTTAAAGGCAGGCAATTTGTTAGTCACATAACACAGTTACAATTTACGATACAGATCAACTTCCCTCAGGTAGTTCACTATCAGATGGATAGCAGTGGAGATAGGGGCTTGTCAAGAGCTGCTTTTGCTGCAGCATCGGCCTTGGTGTTACCTGCTATGCCGACGTGACCCGGCAACCAGCAGAGGACGATGTCACATTGGCCAGTAGAAAGGTCGTTGTAAAGTTCTAATATGTCCAGGATGATTGGGTGACTTGAAGTCACATTTTGAAGTGCTTGAAGGCAGGATAATGAATCTGTGAAAACGATGAAGTTTTTGGAATGTTTTTGCAGTCCAGATTTCAAGAGGTCAGCATGCGACGATGTCGTATTGGCCACATAGATATACTCATGTATATCTATTGAAAGGCGAGGATCCTCCGTTTTGTATCCGTTGTGGTGACAGAGTCACTGTCAAGCATATCCTGCTTGACTGTGTTGAATTCTCCATCATAAGGGAATACAGATCAACTTCCCTCAGGTAGTTCACTATCAGATGAGCGCTCTAGCGGGAGAACAGATCCTTTAGGTTTGTTGCATCATAGTGTGAGTCCCTTGCCGCCGATAAGTCCACGCAGTCAAGCAGAATATGGTTGATGGTGAAAACTTCATCGCAAGAGACACACATGGGGGGTCCATCCCCATCCGTTTTCAGCAGATAGTCATGAGTAAACCCACTGTGGCCAATACGACATGGTCGTGATAAATTTGACATCCGTCGGTACAGTTATAGCTTTTGATAGTGGGTTTGAAATCAGCAGTGGAGATAAGGGCTTGTCAAGAGCTGCTTTACCTGCGGCATTGGCTTTTGTGTTACCTGCTATGCCGACGTGACTCGGCAAGCAGCAGAGGACGATGTCACATTGGCCAGTAAAGAAAGGTCGTTGTAAAGTTCTAAAATGTCCAGAATGATTGGGTGACTTGAAGTTTGAAGTTCTTGAAGGCAAGATAATGAATCTGTAAAAACGATGAAGTTTTTGGAATGATTTTGCCGTTTAATGTAGGTCAAAGCTGAGAAGATAGCTTTGGCATCGGCAGTGAAAATGGAACTGTTGTCGGGAATCCTAGAGGAGACAAGTCTTGGATCCAATGACTGTAGCACTGGTAACTTGGCCCTCATCCTTTGATCCGTCTGTGAAAATGGATCTATGGGTACTTTGAACGTAACTTGTTGTATTCCTGTTGGAGCACCAAAGGATTTGTTTCGGACTTTTTGAGTTTAGTGAGGGTAAGGTCGACCTGTGGTTTCATCATCTGCCAGGGTGGCGAAGACAGGAGTAGGTAAGGTGCTATGATATTGAGATTAATTTTAGCTGCAGATATGTGTGGTTGAATTCTGATTCCAAGTGATGGAACCAGGCTTCGCAGTTTGGGAAACAGGTTTTCATAGAGAGGGTTGAAAACACAATTGTATGCTGGATTGGACTGATTTGAACGTAATTTAGTGATATCTGGCAGTGAAAGTTTAATGCGGCGTTGTTCAAGGGAAGGTTCGTTAGCCTCTGCATATAGACTGTCTACCTTAGAGGTCGTAAAAGCTCCCAGGCAGAGCCTTAGGTCATGGTGGTGGATACAGTCTAATTTTTCTTAATTGCTTTTGCAGGCTCCACCATAAACAATGGAGCCGTAGTCTAGTTTAGAGCGAACCAAAGATCTGTACAAGTGTAGGAGGGTAGTCTGATCCCCTCCCCACTCTGTATTTGAAATTTGAAACCACTTTTAGTAAGTCCAGAGCTTCAAGCACTTGGTTTTCAAATATTTTATGTGTGGTAAGAATGTCAGGTGACATATCAGTTCTGAAGATCTGATAGGTGGACAGTTGAGGAGGGTGGAAGATAGAGTGAACATAGTGTAAACCCTATGTTCAGAGTCATGCGGACAGCAACAGTTTGTAAGTTGGTGTTAAGGGGAACAGGGCTATGTAGGATGCCCTGCCTCGCCAGGATAGAAGTGCCTCCTGTAGCTTTTACACCAGGACAAAAAGGGTGGTAGGAACTGTACCGACTCACCACGGTGTGGCAGATGATGAAACCACAGGTCGACCTTACCCTCACTAAACTCAAAAAGTCCGAAACAAATCCTTTGGTGTTCCAGCAGGAATACAACCAGTTACGTTCCAAGTATGACGCCCATAAGACGGATCAAAGGATGAGGGCCAGGTTGTCAGTGCTACTGTCATTGGATCCAAGACTGTCTCTTCTAGGATTCCCGACAACAGTTCCATTTTCACTGCCGAGGCCAAAGCTATCTTCTCAGCTTTGACCTACATTAAACAGCAAAATCATTCCAAAAACTTCATCGTTTTTACAGATTCATTATCTTGCCTTCAGAATGTTACTTCAAGTCACCCAATCATTCTGGACATTTTAGAACTATACAACGACCTTTCTCTACTGGCCAATGTGACATTGTCCTCTGCTGGTTTTCGGGTCACGTCGGCATAGCAGGTAACACAAAAGCCAATGCTGCAGCTAAAGCAGCTCTTGACAAGCCCTTATCTCCACTGCTGATCCCGTAGTGATTTCAAACCCACTATCAAAAGCTATAACTGTACCGACGGATGTCAAATTTATCACGGTGATGTCGTATTGGCCAGAGTCTGTTTACTCATGATTATCTGCTGAAAACGGATGGGGATGGACCCCCCATGTGTGTCTCTTGCAATGAGGTTTTCACCATCAACCATATTCTGCTTGACTGCGTGGACTTATCGTCTGCAAGTGACTCACATTATGATGCAACAAATCTGAAAAATCCGTTCTCCCGCGTGAGCGCTCATCTGATAGTGAACTACCTGAGGGAAGTTGATCTGTATCGTAAATTGTAACTGTGTTATGTGACTAACAAATTGACTGCCTTTAAATTTAGTGCTATGACTTTTTTTGCTTTTAAATGACAATGTAATGAATATATAATTTTGAAATAAAAACTCATTGCGAGTATGAACTTACAATGTTTATGAATGCAAAATTGTTCTCGTCACTATATGGCTGGAATAATGCCGATGTTACGTAAAGCCCAACTCAAATAAACTCAGTCCTTTTTTAGGTACGTTTCTTGGAGACAAAACGCGGATGGTCTGAAGTCTTGAATCAATGACTGTAATTCGTTATAATTATTCTTAAGTCCTCTGCAATTCCATTGAATCATGGTTTGTGGGTACATGGTGCTTCCACTGGTGACATGTCACGTGAACGTGAGAAAGCGTTTGGTGAACTCCTATTGGTGTCAGGTGGAGATGGAGTGACCTCCATATCCAGAGGGCCAAAGGAGTTATGGACCTCGACGGTGACCTCTGAAGGAGAGGTGGCCTTTGGTTTTGTGTTTGGCAGTTGCTCAAACTGCTTTAGTCTCTCTAGCTTCTTTCTCTCCCTTTTTCGGCGCACAGTTTCTGTTTCTGGTTTGGGCATTTGTTCTGGTGTTTGTGATTCAGTAGTTTTGACTTTTGGCTTTGGAGATGGAGTGGCTGTGATGGGCTGAGTTGAGTTGAGTTGAGTTGGCTGAGAAGACATGACCCACTTTAGATCAGTCTGACAGGAGATAGTTGCTTCATAGCTTCATGAAAAGAGACATTTTTTTGTGCTTGATCTTTATGATCTCTGATTCGCGTTGCCACATGGGACAAGATCTGGAGGAAGCCATATGGTTGGGCACTTCACTTCCTTAGTACAGTCATTGCTGTCATGCTTGTAACCACAGCGGTAACAAACAGCAGAAGAACGATAGGACTTGGATCCATGTCCAAACTTTTGACAGTTGTAGCACCATAGTGGATTAGGTACATACACCTCCACACCAATGCTGCAATAGCCGGCTCTAATAGTTTCGGGAATCTTCTATTGGGTGAACGTAAAGAGGTAGGTGTTTGTGGGTTAAACCACACCGTCCTTCGTGATAGTGAATCTCTTCACAGCTGTAACAGACTGCTGGGAAAGTTCCTGGACAATTTGTTCCTCAGTCATTTCCGACAGGCACCGAGCTCTGTCCCATACAATGCCTCTACACGTGTTCAGTGTTTTGTGCGCTGAGACAGCAACCTTTACATTGACAAACTTTTGTAATTTCAGTAGATTCAAGGATTGCTGTCTCCGAGCACATTCTACTAGTAGAGAACCGGACCGGAGCTTTCTGACATTGGTAACCTCTCTGGAGATACCAGCTATACCCTTGGAGACTGCAAATGGGTTCAATTGCAAATGTTGCTTGTCACAAGCTTCGATGATAAAAAAAAACATGGCCAGTAATCGGGTCGAATGGGCGTACTCTCATCAGAGGAGGAATTGTCACAGTCCATATGTCTTCGTTTTTAACCAGGGTATTGGGAAGCCATGTCGTTAGGAATGTGGTTCGGCATCCCCTCTCCCAACCCACCATGGAGTGTCAACAGGGACGATCTTGTATTGCAGCGGATCTCCAAGCTGCAAAGACCAGGGATAAGGGGGTGTTATACTCCAGCGAATTTGACATGAAATGCTGTAGCTGTCTACCAGATTAAAGGTCAGGATGGATCGGTCCATGACAATCAATTGGAGACGTACAGAATCGGAGGTCAGCATCGCCAGATTGGCCCATGAGCCACCGCCTTCTCTGCATGGGTCTGCGAGGCTAATTTGTTTTGGTAGAATATCAGTTAACATTTAATCATGGCCAAAAATGTTATGTAATACCAAATTTTGTATAAACATTCCATGCACGGGGCAAGGCGTGACCAGCCGATTGTGAGAATCGGGCCTATTCTACCACTCGTCTAGGCAAAGTTTGGGTCGAAGTGGTGTGTTGGATTATCGAACACTATTGCCGGTTCCGTCATCCTCAACCATCAGACTCCTTTCCTCTGCCGA